ATCCCAACTGCCACACCCACGCGCAAGTTGATATCCTATTAGGCAGCGACCTAATACCCCAAATAATGCTAGAAGGCATTGAAAAAATTTCAATACCCTGTTAGCCCAAAATACCATCTTTGGATTTTTATTTATGTATTTATTTATTTATTACGGCTCAAAGCCTAATTCAAAATACAATTTACACTATCCTATCTTATAGGTAAAGTTTTACAAAATTCATATAATTTTGCCTTAAAAACTAAGATTTTATTGCAGTTTTTAATTTCCAATGGGAGCTCGTTGTAGCCTTTTAGGCCTTTGTAGAAAATATTTTGCTTATCTATTTCTGTTCGAAACAATGGCAATTTGAAATTATGTCTATTCCTAGTATTTATATTGTGTGTTTGCTCCACTAAAACTACGTTGTTACTTAAATACTCAGGTACATTTCCATGTTTTATATTAAATATCAACTTCATGGTGTGAAAGTAAATTTTTTGTTTGACACTCAACCAGTTCAACTTTTTTAACATATCACCCGTTCTAGCATCTCTACGTTTTTTAAGAATAAACCTCATGCATCTGTTTTGAAGCTTTTGTAGTTTATCAATTTCTTTGTCTGCTATTATGAATAGGATCGATGGGCAATACACAAAGTGTGGTTCAATGACCGATTTATAAATAATTATTTTATATTTTTCTTGTATATACTTGGTAGTTCTCTGCACAACCCCAATCTTTTTCGCGACTTTCTCCACTATGTAGTTTATATGTTCTTCAAATTTAAGTTTGTTATCAATTATAATTCCTAAATATTTTATGCTATTAACTTTTTGTATGCTTTCATTATTTATTTTTAGCCCACTTAAGTCTTCATCATTAATATTTTTCCTAGTTATCACCATATATTTCGTTTTATTTATGTTAAGCTTTAGCCTATTCGCGCATAGCCATGTGTATAAGTTATTAAGATCATTTTGCATTTTTGTTACCGCAGTAGTAATATTATCATCACTGATCATAAGTAATGCATCATCTGCAAATAGTTTGATCTCACAGTCTTGTATTACATTTATTATATCATTTATATATATGAGGAACAGTATTGGTGCTAGCACCGAGCCTTGTGGTAAGCCTATGGGCACTTCCAATTCGTCCGATATCGCTGTTTTTATAACTGTTCGCTGTTTCCTATGCTTTAAATAACTGCGAAACCACGCAAGCTCTATGTCTTTAATACCGATTTGTTGAAGCTTTTTGATAAGTATTTCCCTGTCTACCGTTTCGAAGGCTCTTTTAAGGTCAAGAAAGACAGCAACCACCACTTTCTTATTATTTAGGTCGTCTTTCCACTCCGATATCACAAAGTTAAGAGCTGTTTCGCACGAATGTTTTTTCCTAAAACCCGACTGTTGACTGACAAGTATTTTGTTTGAATCTAGATGTTTTACCAATTGATTCTTAACATACACCTCAAGAATTTTAGCATCACTTGGTATGGTATTTATGGGTCTGAGCTCTTCTGGTTGTATTGTCTTTTTGACTTTTTCAACTGGGATCACCGTTGACATTTTCCACTTTTCTGGTACAATACCATCTTCCAAACTGCTATTTATTATTTGGGCCTAGAAATACCCTGTATACATTATAGAGTCTTTTATTACACCGTCAGACAGAATTTTTCTACCGCCTATTTTGTATTTAAAATCTTGCAGGATTTTTATAACTTCATCGGTTGTAATTTTTGCAAACTTAAATTCGGAATTGGCGTGACTATCACTTAGTGTTATATCGAAATATTCTATAATATTATTTATTTCTATCACACTATTTATAAAAAACTTGTTAAGTCCATTTGCCAAAGCAAGATCATCTTCTACCAATATACCATCGATTACCGCTTTATTAATACCTTCCTTATCACGCGCCAAGCAGACCGTGGATTTAAGGTACTTCCACATTTCTTTGGCGTTGTTTTCATTCATTATGACTTTATTTTCCATGTATTTAATTTTCTTTATTTTAACCAGGTTTTTATACATTTTATTAATATTTTTGTATTCATCCCACAATCCTGTCTGTATAGCACATGTATATAAATAAAATTTATGTTTATTTAATTGTGCAAGCTCTCTATCGTACCACTTATTCATTAGTTTTATATGTACTTCTTTTTCATAAGTTAAATTTTCCATTGCTTGCGTTAAAATGTGGTTCACTAGTTCAACTTTATCATCAATTAATGCGTTTTCATCGATATTAAAATTAAAAGTCCTTAGTAGGTTTAATAAACTGTCATTACTATATTTATCCCAAGCAATAATTTTCTTGGACACTCTCATCTTATAAGATTTAGATGATGGAACATTGAACATTATAGTTTCATGATCGGAAATTTTGTATGCTTGCAAAGATTTACACTTTATTTCTTCTGAATTTGAATATACGAGATCAATTTTAGATTCAGTTGTATCCGTAATTCGTGTATTAAAATCCACTTTTTGAGCCATACCCATCACCGAAAATATTTCATTCAGTCTTGTACTATATGTTGATATATGATTCATGTTAATATTAAAATCACCAACTATTATATTGTGGTTACTTTTTTCATATTTATCAATTAATATTTCATTTAAATAGTCTAAGAAAGCTGCATCACTTGTGCTTGGCGAGTGATAGAGCACCCCTATTTGCCACTTTTTACCCAGTTTTTTCAATTTTATTACAATACACCACAAGTTCATGTTAACACTATCATTGTATATTATATTAAAGTTTATTTCTCTATGTACGTATATTAGTACTCCGCCAGTGTGCCTGCTGTGGGAATCACATCTTATCATGTTAAAAGTTGCTATTTCCAATTCTTTATCTTCAATATCTTTTGTTGTACACGTTTCAGAGCATAATATGATCGCCGGCTTATGAACTTCCGCCATCACTTCCAATTCACTTTTATTCGAAACTATGCTATTAATATTTAAGTAAATACATTTTAATACACTGTTAGCAGCATTTGCAGACTTGCTTTTGCGGTTAACTTTTGCGGGAATATATTCCTCATGTTGATCTACAACTTCTGAGTGGTGTGTTAGTTGCTAATAACCAAGCCTATGCTTTTTTGCACTTAAGTGCTTTAAATAGACTGGACAATCTCGGCTATTACATAAGTGATTTTCGTCTAGCCCTAAGTTCAATTTTTCATTAGCCTTTATGCAATTTATACACTTGTTTTTAGGAGTTTCATTACACTCCGTGGTTTTGTGTTTTCCCAGACATTTACTGCACACTTCTTCACTTTTACAATCGGTCGCTTTATGATTGTATCCTTTGCATTTAAAACACGTTGTCACGTTAACACCATCGTAAAATCTGCATCTTTCCCATCCTATGTTTAGCTTATCTAACTTCATAACGCTAGTAAACATACACTCATCCACCTCTACAATTGCGTTATAATAGGTTTTGGTGTTATTTTTGACACTATATTGTTTAATAACTTTTATTTCGCCTTGCTCTAGGCATTTGTTTTGGTTCTTTAAACATTCTATCAATTCATCACTATTTTTTTCAAAGTGCATATCAGTTATAAATAATCTTGGTTTATAGTCCCTTGGGATCTTTATTTCGTATTTATCACTCATTTGTTTGTCCATAATTTCTTTGATTTTCTCTCTTTCACTTTCATCTATACTGTCAATCACCATAACACCATTTTGGCCAGCTTTGATATCAGTTATTTTTAGGTGATTAGGGTTAATTTTATTATTTAAATCTTGTTTTGTTTTTTCACTCGTTTGTTTCGCTTTCGGTTTCACAATGATAGGAGTGCGTTTCTTAAATTCCGGCACCTCCCTAGTTGTTTGTGTGTTATCACTCATTTTCAACACATTTGCATATGATTTTTGCTGTTGCGTCACACTGCTTTTATTCTTCGCTATTGTTTTTATTTCGCTACATAATTTCTCATTTTCATTTCCCACTACTTCAACTTGTTTTACCATTTGCTCCGCTACCTCTCGCACTTTCTTAATTTCTGCAGCATTTTTTAAGTACATTTCTTGGTGCATTTTTAGGGTTGCTAACCTCTCATTATATTTGTCTTCCATCGCTTTCATAAGGTCTTTTAACTCTCTCTTGCTGGCTTGTATTGCCCGATCAAATTCATTTTTATATTCTTTTAGGTACACACTATTTTTATTAACACTCTCTTGCATATCTCGCACTACTAAGTCAACATTATGTATATATGTAATGCACTCATCACAGATAAACTTCACCATTGGATGCGATCCTATTACATTGGCTTTGTAGCTATCCAACCCAGAACATTTTGATGCAGTGTGGTATACCTTTCCGCATACACCCACACACCTGACACCTGTCTCTCCACGTATTGCAACTTTACATTTCTCACACTTGTCCGTTTCAGACATTTCGTCTTTAAAACCGCGCGCTTTTCCACTATTTTACTTTGTTTGTATATATGTATCTCGTTAGATGAATATGCTTACATACATATGTATGTGTTATATTCGCTAGTTAGAGTCACTTTCTCACAATATTATATTATTTAATTGACACAGTTTATTTATATTTATAATCAAACGATTTTAAATATAACTTCTTCATCATCTTCCATTTTATGGATACTAAGCGGCCAAGTAAGTGAAAAATATCGGTATTCAGAACTCAAGTTGAGATATTTCAAACGAATACCTCAATTCTCAATTAAAAAGATTTTGGGAGTTAGAAGAACTCCCCAACATACAAGTCACTACCCCAGAAGATAAAGCTTGCGAAGATTACTACAAAGCCACAACAACGCGAGCACAAACTGGTCGATATGTAGTACGACTTCCATTTAAGCCAGAATTCCCAGACACACTCACCCTAGGTCGCTCCCGAACCTCTGCGCTTCAGCAGTTTTTAAGTATGGAAAAAACCTACTTAAAAAAGGCGAGCTTAAATCAGCATACGATGGTGTCCTGGAAGAATATCTCGATTTAGATCATATGGAAAAAGTAAATCCATATGAGAACATAATCAAAGGTAAATACACCTCATTTTACCTACCCCATCATGCGGTTGTAAAACCAGACAAAAAAACAACCAAGGTAAGAGTAGTCTTCAGCGCCTCGAAGTGTACAAGTTCGGGCAATTCCTTAAATGACATTTTGTACACAGGACCCACATTACAACCCGATTTAATGCTTCTGATTTTAAAGTGGCGTATGTTCAAATACGTATTTAACGGAGACGTCGAAAAAATGTATCGACAAATACTCGTACATAAAGACGATCAAGACTTTCAGCGCATTATATTTCGAAATTCACCAAATAGTCCAATATGTGACTATAAACTCAAAACGGTGACATTTGGCGTAAATTGCGCCCCCTTTCTTGCCATTCGAACACTTCACGAATTGGCAAACGATATAAAAGAAAAATTTCCCCTAGCAACCCCTGTGTTAAAAACACAAACATATGTGGATGATATCCTGTCTGGAAGCTACAGCTTACCAAAAGCGTATGAAGCACTATCACAAGTGATACAAGCCCTCAACTCAGCAGGGTTCCCCCTAAGAAAGATAACCACCAATCACCCCGAAATCCTAAAAGATATAAATAAAGAAAATTTATTAGATTCAAACGTCCTAATATTCGAAAAGGAAAGTACAACAAAAACCCTAGGCATACAATGGAATGCGATCTCAGATAAATTCTCATATACTCTTGAGTCGATATCTGCTCAATCCACAATGACTAAAAGACAAATTCTGTCGGCTGTAGCGAAACTTTTTGACCCCGCAGGATACAAATCCCTAGATGGGTAAATTACCCCCCCGAATACCAAGTAGAACTGCATGGCTTCTGCGACGCCTCTGAAAAGGCATATTGCGCAACTATATATGTGCGCACCCAAATTAACACCACAATTTCAAGCCATTTGTTAGTAGCAAAGGCCAAAGTGGCACCTCTCAAAACACTAATTCTACCACGACTTGAACTGTGTGGCGCGCTTCTACTCGCAAAATTAGCCTCAACTGTGCAAACGCATTTCCAATCAGAAATTATATCTATGGTCAGACTCAGAGATCGTCTTAGCTTGGTTAGAAAAACCACTCCACTCTTGGAAAACATACGTTTCCAATCGCACAGCCCAAATACTTGATTTAGTTGGGCCAGCAACTTGGCGACATGTAGCCAGTGCTGATAACCCCGCCGATCTTGGCACAAGAGGTTGCAAACCCCTGCACCTCGCCACCACCTCACTCTGGTGGAACGGCCCCAGCTGGCTAATAGAATCACAAAAATTCTGGCCACAATCCCCCATACGCAACATAATTGCCCCAGAAAGTCGAAAAGTTGAAACCTTTCACACAATATTGGATGACACTGAGCGCCTCAAAAATAAGGTGAAGAAAACACCGAATTCCCCAGATAACATGTTAACGCATCAAGACCTACAAAAAGCAAAGGTTTCCCATGTTGCATACACTCAAATGCGCTTTTTCAGCCGCGAAATGTTAATGCTAAGAGAATCAAAACCAATTGACAAAAAGAGTCAAATATTAGTACTCAATCCATTTTTAGACACGAAAGGTCTGCTTCGTGCTAATGGCAGGCTAGCCTCACCTATAACGAAAAAATACGCACCCCAAGGGATTGATTGGCAATTTATCCCACCAAGTGCCCCACATATGGGTGGTCTATGGGAATCAGCTGTAAAAAGCTTCAAAACACATTTTAAAAAAGTCGCTGGCACACACAAATTTAACTTTGAAGAATTTACTACATTATTAACCCGAATAGAAGCCGTTCTTAACTCACGGCCCCTCTCTGCGCTCTCGCAAGATCCCTCCGATTTCACTGCCCTCACCCCTGGGCATTTTCTTAGACGAGCTCCACTTCTGGCAATACCCGAACCAGACGAGCAATCCTTATCTTTAATGAATCGATGGGAACGAATGAAAATTCTCCATCACGAATTTAGCCGTCGATGGAAGGAGGAATATCTAAAAGACCTCCATAAAAGATACCGATGGAAAAACGCTCAAGAAGAGCCAAAGATTGGAGACTGTGTCCTAATTCATGACGAATGCCTTCCCCCTACGGAATGGCGACTCGGCCGTATAGAGAAAATATATCATGGCTCCGACGGCCATATCCGCGTAGTTGATCTCCGTACACAAAGCGGCATACTCACTCGACCGCTCGTCAAGCTATGTTTCCTTCCAACCGCCTCTCCTACCGATTGCGCGAATACCGATACCTAAAATCATCAAACCGCAATAAACGTAAACCGAGAATATCAAAAGTGCCTAAATCCGGACCCTCGAACGCATACCAAGGGGCTTACGCCTAGCAATCATGTTCATAACTGCTTACACCTATGCTATACTAAAGTCCGTTCTCCCCTAACGTAGGTAAACATGGACGTGGAAATGCATGAAGCCAAACCAACTCCAACTCTCCGTTCGACAATCACCGTGTCCCGCTCGGCAGCACCGCCAGTATCAGCTCCGCGTTCTTCTGCGCCACGTACCGCAACAGCCCCGGCCGCAGCGCTACGCAACGTTACGCCTCGTCCCGCCGCCGCTCCGACGGCACCTCCCCGTGTGGCGCTTGAGCTTCCACAAAGGAGCCCATCAGAAATGCAAGGCGTACGATGCCCGCTATGTAGGTGCCCACACAAGCTGCGCCTATACTCCATATTTAGGAGTATGCAGCCGCCGCAGCGCCAGCAAGTCGCGCAAGCGCATGGGTACTGCCTCAATTGCTTGGCGCTATCCCACGCAACGAGGGAATGCGACTCCCCCATCAGGTGCCAACTATGCGACAGACCGCATCACACGCTGTTGCACCGCATGTTCGGACGTCCGATGATCGAGACGCCAGTGCCACGCAACCATGGGCGGCGAAGGCCGCACGACAGCAGTACAGCACGATCGCGGCGACCACCAGTACAGCAGGGCCACCGCACTTGGAACCATCCTGGGGCTCGATATCGCGCTCCAGCGGTCACACATCGCCGGCACCAGCCTACGCAACGTCCTCGTCGTGCAACCGGAATCAGCAACGTAGTGGAGACCCTGCAGCAACTCCAGCAACTACTAGGCTGAAGACTCGCCTAGGGGGGCCGGGATGGAAAATGAGTTCGACCGTGAATGGCTCCGTGGAATAGCAGCAATCCTGCCTAATCGCCTACTCACCACGGCCCGTTCCACCCACGTACACATAATACACGTACACACACATATATACACATGAATTGTACTAACACATACACACACACATGAATTACAACATAACATGAAACAAAACACAATTTTGCGAATGTCAGATCGACCAGACGTGTTCTGCGCTATAACCCCGCTAACGCAAATTTAATAAAGTGTGTTAATATTCCCACCAAAAGGTTCTACGGGTTTATTTTAAAAAAAGGTTCGAAGCTAGTGGTGAGTGTGCCCCCCAAAGTGTTTGCCCTTGGTGTACGACTGTTCACAATGCTTTGCGGAAATCGCCAACGGCTCTGATACTGATTTCAGTTTTTCTAGTGATGTGGATAGCCAAACGATGGAGAAATGGATAAATATTTACAGCTACCCCTTATACCTAGACAAGAATATCCTTTAATTTGGTGGAATCGACAGACGGTGGTGTAGCGCCACCATTCCGCAGGGCCTGGGTTCAAGCCAGGCAGGCAATGGCAAACCTCCGAGTGTATTTCTGCCATGAAAACAGTTTCTCATTAAAATACAATCGCCGTTCTGAGTCGGCGTAAAACTGTAGGTCCCTCCCCTTGTGTGACAACATCAATGCGCACCCCACAAATAGGAGGGGAAGCCCAGCCAAACACCAACAAATGCATAGGCACCAATCTATTATTATTATAGTCGCAAAGAATTTCCAAATTTGTTCACTTTGACAATGAGGTATCTTGCGAACCACCTTCCTCAGTGAACTCAAAAAGAGTGTTGAGTGCATCGGGTAGCATTTATGTTGTAAAAAGAAATGGCTTCTTGACCGATAACGCGGAAATGCTTCTTCTCATAATGAAAAATATATAAATTTTCAACTCGTTAACTACTGAACTAGATTTTTAAATAGAATAGATCCCCCTTCGACAATAAACCAATACTTTTTTTACGTTTCATTTAATAACACAATACCATTTTATCCTTCTGATTTGTCATTTTTGAATTTTGAGCAAATCTGAAAGATTTATGGAAATTCGAAGTTAGTGTTAGTAATATGCTGTAACATTAAAGGAAATTAAAAACGAACGAAACGAATTTTCTCGGAAAATTTACGTGATGTAATTTTGTATAAATTTTTTTTCGTAGCTTAGTACTAATACCCACCTTAATTTCTAATTCGCTTTGTAAGGGAGATACCATGTTGCTGTTTTTGTAGCAGCATACAAGTTCCGCAAAGAGTTTTTGGGGAGTGTTGCTGGAGTGAAAGTCCTTGGCCAAAATATAAATCTGGGTCGTTCCGGTTACGTAGACCCCACCGCGGGAACGAAGGGAGATACCATGTGGTTGCTGTTGTAGCGGCTACAACAACCCCGCCCAGATCGGTTGGTATCTCAGTCGTTGTCGTCAAGTTCCACTAACGGCAACCCTAGGAACCGTGCAGCTTTTGTGGGGTTTGTCCACAGGGACAAGGCCGTTAGGGTTGTCGGGTTTTCCGGGCATGCGAACAGATGTTTCGAGTCATGTGGGGTCTCTCCGCATGCCGGACACTCATTCGGCACATCCTCATTCAACCTACTCAAGTAGGAGTTCAACCTGCTGCAGTAGCCGGAGCGAAGTTGGGCGAGTGTTGTGCGTGTCTCCCAAGGCAGATGAAGCTCCGTCTCGTCTATGTCCGGGGGTGGTATGCCTAGAACGGCATTCACAGGTCTAGAGTCTACATAACTCGAGACTGAGTCCCTGTGAATGCCGTTCAGGGCCTGTCTGTAAGCTGTCGGGTCCAGAGGTTGCTTAATGAACCTCTGGACTTCGTCCGTCAGTTCATATAGATGCCTCCTGACGTGCCTAGGCGAGGGCTCCTCTGCAAGCAGCTGTCTGCTTGGGTGGCCACTTCTGTGGCTCCCGATCAGGAACTGCTTGCAGAGCATTATATTATGCTCCTTCACAGGGAGCATTTGCGCCTCGCCGTGCAGGTGGTGTTCAGGCGACATCAAGAGGCATCCGTTCGCTGTCCTGAGGGCGGTGTTCTGTACAGTCTGTAGCTTCGTCCACTGCGTCCTGCTAGTCCCTGGCGACCACACTGGCGCTGCGTAGTTCAAAACCGGCCGGCCTATTGCCTTGTATGTTGCCAGCAACGTTTCTTTGTCTTTGCCCCAAGAACTGCCGCCTAGCGACTTGAGGACCTTGTTGCGGCTCTGTACTTTATTGACAATAGCGGTTGAGTGCGCAGAGAAGGAGAGCAGGCTGTCGAATGTTACTCCGAGTATTTTGGGGTTATTCACCGTCGGAATTGGTGTGTCATCGACGTGAATCCCCAGCAGTAGCCTGACCTCCTTCGTCCAGGTTGAGAACAGGGTCGCGGAGGGTTTCGTAGGGGAGAGGGCTAGACACTTTGCAGTGAAGAAGCGAGAAAGTTCGGAGAGATAGCCGTTTACTTTCGAACACAGGTCATCAATTCCATTCCCAGTCGCCATGATCGAGCAATCGTCGGCATAAGAGACAATCGAGACTCCCTCTGGTGTTTGAGGGAGCTTTGAAATGTAAAAGTTAAACAGTAGCGGGGAAAGGACACCACCCTGAGGAACCCCCTGTTTTATTTTTCGCTGCTTACTCGTTTTGTCTCTAAACATTACCGACGAATGTCGACCACTCAGATAATTTGCCGACCACCGTTTGAGCCTCTGTGGGAGAGAGGAGGCCTCTATATCTTCTAGCAGCGTGGAATGGCAGACGGTGTCAAACGCCTTTGACAAGTCCAACGCTACTAGAATCGTTCTCTCACAGGGACGGTTACGGTTAAGGCCACGAGTTATCTGAGTGTTTATGGCGTTAAGTGCTGTTGTTGTACTGTGCACTTTACGGAAACCATGCTGATGCTTCGCTGGGGTCAGGTGGTTTGTGAAGTACGGGAGTAGCAAGGCCTCGAGTGTCTTCGCTACCGGGGAAAGGAGTGTAATCGGACGATACGAATCTCCTTTGTTGGCAGGTTTCCCCGGTTTGAGCAGTGGGACCACTCTCCCCACCTTCCAGATGTCTGTGATGATGAGAGTGGCCATTGACAAGTTGAGGACCTCCGTTAGGTACGCTACCCCCGCAGGACCCAAATTTTTCAGCATCAGCATGCATATTCCGTCGGGACCTATGACTTTGGAGGCTTTCGCCTTCCCGATGGCCACCTGAACTTCACCGCAAGTGAAAGCAAGGGGGGCACAAGTTGTTGGCAGTTTGTGCAGCCTTTTGGTCACTCGACGCTTGGCTTTGTCCACCGGAGGATGCAGTATGAACTGCCGGCTAAAATAGCTCGCGCAACGCTCCGGGTCCGACGAGGCATGGTCGCCGAAGGAAATTTCGACTCTGTCGTCGTGCTTCGTCTTTGGACAATGACCTCACGGTTGACCAAAGCTTGCTCACACCAGAGATGAAATTACAAGTCTTCAGATGCTCCTCCCACTTCTTCCGCTTATGTACGTTTACAAGTTGCCGAATCTCCATGTTGAGATCCCTGATACGGGGATCTCCGGGATCGGCCTGACGATCGGCTAGAACAGCCGCTTCGGCAGGGAAGTTTGGACGTGGGTCCGATATACATCCTGCCGGTATGAAGCGAGCTGCAGCAGCAGTGATAGCCCTGCGGAACTTACGTTCACCGAGATGGACGTCGGTTGGTGTGGGGAGCGCTGCGAAGGTGTTTTCGGTAAACTCCGCGTAACCTTTCAAATCAGCTTTAGAAAAGTTGATATAGGTCCGGTGTTTGGCGGAGGCAAAGTCGGTTGGTTTATCTATCGAGATGACTATGGGTAGATGGTCTGATGCTAGAGTCAGCATAGGTCGCCACGTTATGCTGTTTATCAGACCAGCGCTGACTATTGTGATGTCTGGCGAGCTACTGCAGTTACCCATAATCCTGGTGGGTGCGTCGTCGTTCATTGTGCAGAATGTCGAATCGTCTATCTGCTCAGCCAAGTCTGTTCCCCTACGATCGTTTGACAGGCTTGAGTGCCAAAGATCGTGGTGCGCATTAAAGTCACCTACTACCATACGGTTTTCACCTCTGAGGAGCGCACCTATATCAGGGTGATATCCTGCCGGGCAGCAGGTGACAGGGGGTATGTATATGTTAAATATTTCGAGCTCGACATCGCCTGACCGGATAGCGATGCCCTGACATTCTAGGGTGGTATCCCTGCGGTCGATGTCTGCTTCGATAAGACGATACTGCACGGTGTGGTGCGTGATGAACGCTAAGCCACCACCATTATCTCGCTCGCGATCTTGACGGTGCACGTTGTACCCGGCGCAATTCAACAAAGTTGAATTGCTGTGCAACTGCGTCTCTTGGACCGCAGCTATCAATATACCATGCCGATACATGAAGACGGTTATCTCCTCAATCTTGCTCTGTAGCCCGTTGCAGTTGAATTGAAGGAGCTTCATGTGGTTCGGGAGACGTGTCGTGATGTGGGGTGTAAGTGAAGTGTATGTTCTTGCCGCCGTTGGCTGTGTGTGCTGCTGAGGTGATTGCCGCCCTGTGGTGGTGGTGGGGGGCGTCGCAATTGGGGTCTGCGACCGAGCAGCGCAACACGGGCCCTCGAAGTTCTCAGTCCAATCTCGCGTGGTACGCAGACCTGAGCATGCCCTAAAGTGGCACCAGCCAAGGCAGGTGTTGCACTTGACTGATGTCACATTACGGAATATCCTGGTCTGACATACCGTGCAGATTGTAGGGGGAACCAGGAGTTGTTGGCGGCGGCGTGTGGGTGGTGGTGTGGTTGTGTGTGTTATGTGGTCTGTAGTGGCTGTGGTACGGTCTGTGGTGTTATTATGTTGTTGTGTTGTGGTGACTGTGTGTGGCTGCTGTGTGAGTGTGTGGGGCTGCTCGGGCGGACCGTGGTTAGCCGTGGAGGCTGCTCTGTTTGAGCAACAGGGGGCCACGTACGACGTGGTCCACTGTCTATGTGTCCGTAGTCCCGAGCAGACTCTGAGGTGA